ATAATATATATGTATATATATATATATATATATATATATATATATATATATACAACTTCCAGAATGACTGATAGATATAGGTATACACACATCATATATTGCATAATTATGTGTCTATGTATTTTTGTTGTATTTCCATACACATGTCACGACTTATCTTCCTTTCTTATTCCGACAGTGTTTCTATAGACCTGTGTATAAAAGTATTGGAAATACGATTACAGAATGGCAAATAACAAATGATGATTTCAACAATGATATAATAATAATAACAACAACAGCAACACAAACACTAACAACAGCAACAAACACCAAAAGACCGCGAAGGGGTAAACAACCCAGCGCACGTAACCCAGGCCTTGGTCGCTCGGAGACGTCCCAGCTGCCGCTTGTCCACGCCGAGCAGAGGATGTGATTTCCTCGTTTGCTTTTGCCATTTCCGTCGAGCTGGTGGTTTAGAGGCGCCGGGGACTCGGAGGTTGAAATCCCAAGCTTTCTTTTAAGCGTGGCATTTCGTCTTGCTACTCATTTATCTGTTTAGTTGTTTATTTCCCGATGGGACTTTTCGTTTCTTTTCCCCATGGGTGAACGTGATAGATGGCGCAAAGGTATTTGTATCTTTCATAAACATATCAGCTTAATGGGATGATTTGAGTGACCATGTAGGTTTGTCTGTGCATGATATAAAGTGATGTAGTACATAAACGAATGCAACGGTAATAGCTACCGAGTTAATGAAATATTAGTTGCTGTTATCATGATGATGATAATGTGATGAGGTCTGTAGTTATGGTGAGGAAAATGACATTGATATAACAATGACAGCAACTGAAGTAAAATGATATAAATAATGATAATACTGATAATAATAATGATAAAAAACAAAGAACAACTGCAATAATGATATTGATAATAAAGATAATGATATGATAATCATGTTGATGGTGATAATAATAATCCCAACCACCATTACCACATGAAAAAAAATCCATAGAATTTACTAGTCCATACCAATACCTGAAATATGTTCGTGATAGGCCGACCCAAACCTTAAAAGAAATGCTCCCCCGCTTTTGCGAATGCTCTCATCCCGTTCGCCAACCCACCGCGCGGCTGCAACTTTATCCGTTCGCATACCGGTGTATCCAGCCTGCGGATTCATTGCTCCATTCGCCCGCCAAAGTCCCTCTCTACTCTTGCACATCTGTCGGTCATTTTTTTCCATTTCACATAACTTTCTTTTGTTTTCAGATAAAATGTTTGTGATGGGAGAGAGAATAGAAGAAAGAGTGATTTTACTAATAATGAGGATGAAGATACTAATAAATATTGATAATAACAATAATGCTAAAAACAAAACAATAGTTATAATGATATTGATAATGGCGATAATAATAAAAGTATCATTATGAGGCAGCCTGTTTTGGGTTCAAATTGTGAATTAATATAGAAAGTGTTGTGCGTAGGTTTCGAATTCATCTTGTCCTTTTTTTTATTAATATCAGTCAATTAGGTAACAGTATTTGATAAAATTCAATATCGACTTGAAACATTTGTCAAAACTTTCCCCAGAAATATCGGAATTAGAGTTTTTATTTTCATATATTTATTCTTTTTTCTTTTTTTACCATGATGTGTACACAACATAAATTTACAAACTACACATTCTTTATAATAATGAAAAGAAAGAATGCCCACTCATGTTCCCGTTAAGTCGTGCTAGAAATGAATAAATAAACCAAACAAAAAGAAAATAAAAATACGTTTAAAAATGTCTGCGTCTCAATGGTATACTACCTGTCAGCCTGAAGATAAATGCACTGCGGTTCGCTCCCTCTTGCGGTGTCGTTAGCTTATTCATGTTTATATTTTCGTTTTCACATTATACCATTGTTCAGAATCAGCTGCGGAGAATAAATGTTCATCTGAATGCAGGAATTGTTGTGGCTCCCTTTTTTCAACATTTTTCTTTAGTGGTCTTCAGGATCAAGACATAGCATGTTAGATAAATTAATTTTTAAATGTTTTCATCAGTGATAGTGTAATTTAAATGATTAATCAGTGGATTTCAAAGTGACAATGTTAATACTATCAATTAGTGCAATTCAAGGAGTTAAATCTTTTTACTTAAAAAAATTATCCACTAATGATATCAATGCAATGTAATATAATATAGTTTGGGTTCTTGGCATTTTACATATAACTAGATAGGTATGACACTGTTATATAATCATCATGAAACGATAAACTCAAAATCATCAACATTCAAAACTGTTATACCTTAATGATCAAATATTACAAAACAAAATAGCGATCATTTTAAAAGCAGATTAATTATTTAATGTCTCACGAGTTAAAATATGAATTAGATGTCACACAGATGTATAAAGATCATAAGAGAAGCAAATAGTTATAACAAAATAAACATGCTGTGAACTATTATTCTAAAAGAATAAACAAACAGTTCATTATAATAAGTACAAACTGGATTGCCTTTCAA